ATGTTTTAATGTTAGTGATGCGTCCCGCTCTGGTCGTCCAGCAGAGATTGATTCAGCTGTAATAAAGAATACCGTCGACAAAAATCCATCGCAAACAGTACGAGAGATTGCTACGACACTTAATATATCCCACACAAGTGTAGAAAACCATTTGCGTCAGTTGGGATACGTTTCTCGCCTCAATGTTTGGGTGCCGCACGAATTGACCGAGGCCAACTTAACCGCTCGCATTTCCATCTGCGACGCGCTGCTGAAACGCCAAGAAAACGATCCATTTTTGAAGCGGTTGGTTACAGGAGATGAAAAGTGGATCGTCTACGATAACGTAGTACGTAAAAGATCATGGGGAAGCAGCAGTGAACCACCACAAACAACCTCGAAGGCAGGATTGCATCCGAAGAAAATTATGCTCTCAGTGTGGTGGGATTATAAAGGTATCATTTATTATGAGCTCTTACCATCAGGCAGGACGATCGATTCAACTGTATATTGCTCCCAATTAACGAAATTGAATCAAGCAATACGTTCGAAACGTCCAGAATTGGCAAATCGAAAAGGAGTCATCTTCCACCACGACAATGCCAGACCCCATACTTCATTAACTACTCGGAACAAATTGTTAAGGCTTGGCTGGAATGTTTTGCCTCACCCTCCTTATTCACCGGCACCCTCTGATTATCATTTGTTCCGGTCGCTGCAAAATTCTCTGAATGGGAAAAACTTTGCTAATAATGAAGCTGTTAAAACGCAACTGGACTCAGTTTTTTGCCGGTAAACCTCAGACGTTTTATGAATGTGGGATTATGAAATTGGTAAAAAGATGGCAAGAAGTCATAGAAAAGTATGGTCAATACATTATTGATTAGTATATATTTTGTATATTAAATAAATTGTATTTTATACCAGTCAAAAAAACCGAAAGAACTTATTTGCCAACCTAATTTTATATAAGTCGATTTCATATTTGTCATCGTAAGAGAAATATTGAGAAACTATGTTTATCGTATGTTCTTCCCACATTATTAATTTCATATATTGTGATATTTATGTAAATATTTTAATCGTCAAAATTGGGAAAAATAAATATCATTTACACCATAACATTATTGTAAATTCAGAGTGACAAATAAACATTCATTTCCATTACATTCCAGCAAACAATGTTATATAACCGTAATATAATTGAATGTTATAGGTAACACTACAAAAATGTTACAGGTAAGATACTAGTTTCTTGTAATTTCTCACTCATAAATATAACATGTAACATAACATTGTTATGTTGTGGTTATATACATAGGTCACTAGATAAGTTTTGCAATATGCACCTTAATTTCATCAAGCCTTAAAGCTTAAGGCACGATGTCTTAAAGTTGATATCACTGATAAGTATGTCTCAATAAAAAATAATATGTCAAGTTAGTCCGCATCAACCCGTTTACAAACTGAGCATTAGTATCAATCGAGTTTGTCAAACATAGCGTCGTAATCGAGAGAGGAAATTTGTACGGTAATTATGTACAATTTTGTGAAAAATGACGATTGATGAATTTTCGGGCAAAATCAAAACTCTTTTGGACAATGACTGTTCACATGAAACAACAATTTTTCGTTGGTACAGTGTGGCAGCTTCTCCATGGATGATATGCAACGCCCCGACGTTCTGACTTAATAACGGAAGAAACCGTGAATAAAGTAAGCACTTTGCCGAAAGCCAGCAAATAACGTATTGGCATAAATTAAGTCGAGGAGATATTATAGATTAATTCACCAAGCATTTTAAAATTTTACGTGAACGATTACATGTACGGAAAGTTTGTACGCTGTTTGTACGCTCCTCATTTTTTAACGGAGGAGCAAAAGGCAAGATGTCAAGGTGAAAGATATCAAGAAGTGATGGAAAACTATGAAAATGGAGCTCCGAAAAATCTAAATAACTTCGTAACGGGTGACAAAACTTGATTATACTATTACGATGTTTAGTCAAAGCGTAACAATCAAGTGTGACTATTTGAAGATGAGTCTACGCCAACACAAGTGAGAAAATATCAATACTTAAAAAGAAAATGATCGTCACGTTTTTTATGATCAGAAGTATTTTGACACAAATTGTTCTAGAAAATCAGTGAATATTGACTGCTCCATGTAGACCCCATAAAGTGGTATATACCAGGTGTATGCATAAGTTTTTTCCGGTTTAACTAAGAGATGGCGCCAGCGAAAAGTACGCAGCGTATTAATTTGACACATACGTCATTTTGTTCGTCTGACATTTAAAACTACAAACATACACAAGTTGAATCCGCCAAAAACTAGCGTCTTTGTTTTATCGTTCAGTGATCATGTCGAGTTTTGTGCCTGAAAAAGAACATTTGCGGCACGCATTGCTTTTCTTATTTAATCAAAAGAAAAAGGCTGTTGAAGTCATCGTTTGCTGGTAGAAACATATGGTGAACACGCTCCATCGATTAGAACATGTGAGACATGGTTTCGACAATTTAAAAATGGTGATTTCAATGTGAAAGACAATGTGATTTCAATGTGAGCGCTCTGGTAGACCACAAAAATGCAAAGACGAGCAATTGCAGGAGTTATTGGATGATGACCCAACTCAAACTCAACGGCAATTAGCAGAAGCATTACATGTATCACAAGAAACAATCAGCAGACGTTTACGAGCAATGGGAAAGATCAATAAACTCGGTAAATGGGTCCCACACAATTTGAATGAACGTCAAATGGAAAATCGCAAAGTCACTTGTGAAATGCTGCTTCAACGCCACGAAAGGAAATCATTTTTGTATCGAATTGTGACGGGTGACGAAAAATGGATTTATTTTGAAAACCCGAAGCGGAAAAAATCGTGGCTTTCACCTGGCGAAGCCGGTCCATCAACACCAAGGCCAAATCGCTTCGGCAAGAAGACCATGCTCTGTGTCTGGTGGGACCAGAGCGGTATTGTGTATTATGAACTCTTGAAGCCCGGCGAAACCGTTAATACACAACGCTATCGCCAACAAATGATTAATTTAAACCACGCATTAATCAAAAGACGACCGGAATGGGCCAGAAGACATGGAAAAGTGATTTTGTTACACGACAATGCGCCGTCTCACACAGCAAAACCAGTGAAAGACACCTTGAAATCGCTTGGATGGAACATCCTTCCGCATCCGCCGTACTCCCCAGACCTGGCGCCATCTGACTATTACCTCTTCGCATCAATGGGGCACGCGCTCGCTGAGCAGCATTTCAGCAATTTCGAGGAAGTTGGAAAATGGCTCGACGAATGGTTTGCCGCAAAAGACGAGCAGTTTTTCTGGCATGGTATTCATAAATTACCTGAAAGATGGGCGAAATATGTAGAAGCCGATGGCCAATATTTTGAATAAAAAAAAATTAATTTCCCTTGAAAATTACGTGTTTTTTTTTTACCAAAAAACCGGAAAAAACTTATGCATACACCTGGTAGATACATGTTTAAATTAAGTGATTGTAAAACTCAAAAATTTGCGTCCATGTTGAAGAATGAATACCTGGCCTTTTTATAACGATAATATTCGATCACATACAGCTCGACCGACTCAAGAATTTTTAGAAAATTCCGGCTTAAAATTGTTTAAGTACCCACCTTACAGCCCTTATTAGCCCGATGTAGCTTCTTCTGCGATTTTGGTTTGTTTTCTTTTATTAAAGAAAAATTGAAAGGAAGGAGATTTTCGAGTAATGAAGAGCTCATAGCAGCATGAGACAACTCAAGCGCAGACCAGCCTTTAGAAAAGTGACAACAAATTTTCAATAAATGATTTATTCGAATGGAGAAATGTATTAAATCTAATTATGATTATTTTGAAAGAATGTAAATAAATAAAGCTATAGTGCAAAATGTATCTAGTGATCTGTATATACATATGTATATTTATTCATACAACTTATTTTATTCTAGAAACATTCTAGGGGTATCCTTAGGACGTAGAGACTTCCTATAGATATCTTTAGGACATCTCTTGGACATCCATGTTATATGGGTAGCAAACCTATGTTTGTTTTATTGCCGTTTGTTATTTGCTAAAAAGTACATACATAATATATTTGTTATTTGCTAAAAGGTACATATATGATATGTTGCATGAAAGACAATAAAAGGTAAATGCATAATATTGATATGTTGCATGAAAGACAATAGAAAAACACTAAATACAAAAATTATTGCACTTTATTGTATTTATTTGATTTATTGCATTTTCTCTTCATAATATTAGGTTGGAAAAAAGAAATCCATTATCTTTTCGGTAGATGACTGTAGTGATCGATATCTCGTAAAGTATCGATCAAACAACTTCAGATTTATGCTCGTTGGAAAGGTGACATTTCGCAATAAAAAAATTCTTTTGTTGTTTTTTGTTTGGTCCATTCAGTTGTGAATTACAGGGTGTTAAAAATGGAAATCAATGAAGAGAAAATTCGGTACATTTTACAGTTTTTCTTTGATAAAGGCGAAAATACAAGCCAGGCGGCTGTAATTGTGAATGGTGTTTATGGTGCCGATACTGTAACAGCCAATTACGTGCAATTTTGGTTTCGTCGATTCCGTTCAGGTATTTTTGATGTTAAAGATGCACCTTGCACAGGTAAGCCCGTCGTCGAAAATATCGATAAAATCACAGAAATAATCGAAGTTGACCGGCATGTTAGCAGTCGTAGCATCGCCCAGGAGCTAAAGTTCGATCATAAAACAGTTTTAAACCATTTGCACAAAGTTGGATTCAAATATAAGTTCGATGTTGGGTGCTACACCAATTAACACAAAGAAACATGATGGATCGAATTTCCATCTGCGAAGCCTTGGCCAAACGAAATGAAATCGACCCATTTCTTAAACGGATGGTGACTGGGGATGAGAAATGGGTCACATACGACAACGTTGTGCGAAAACGATCGTGGTCAAAGCGCGGTGAAGCAGTTCAAACGGTGGCCAAACCAGGACTAACGGCCAGGAAGGTTCTGCTGTGCATTTGGTGGGACTGGAAAGGAATCATTTATTATGAGTTGCTTCCATATGGCCAAACACTAAATTCGGATCTCTACTGTCAACAACTGGACCGTTTGAAGCTAGCGATTGACCAGAAACGGCCTGAATTGGCCAACAGGAGAGGTGTTGTGTTCCATCAGGACAACGCCAGGCCACACATGTCTAGAGTGACTCGCCAGAAACTCCGGGAGCTTGGTTGGGAAGTTTTGATGCATTCACCGTATAGTTCGGCACCAAGCGATTATTATATTTTTCTTGCATTGCAAAACTTCCTTAGCGACAAGAAATTGGTATCAAGAGAAGATTATGAAAATCGATTACTAGAGTTTTTCACCAATAGGGACCAAGACTTCTATGAGAGAGGCATTATACAGCTACCTTTAAAATGGCAACAAATTATAAAACAAAACTGTGCATATTTGACCCAAATCGGACAATCCGAAACATGTTAAATAAAATCTTGAAGTTCACGTAAAAATAATGGATTTCTTTTTCACCAACCTAATGTAATACTAATGCAAAGTTTCTTTTTTTAGTCTAATATACGAGGGCAGTCCGATAAGTACTTAACCTACAAAAGAAAAACGATAATTTTGGAAAAGTGGCGATTTATTTCTCAACATAGTCTCCTTTTAGCTCGATACACTTGACCCAGCGATGCTCCAACTTCTTTAACCCATCTGAAAAATACGTTTTCTCGAAGTCTGCAAAGGCCTCCGTGGCGGCGATGACCTCCTCATTCGACTCAAATTTCTGCCCGTCGAGTGACTTTTTTAAATTTGGAAACAAATAAAAGTCGCACGGGGCCAAATCTGGAGAATACGATGGATGGGGCAGCAGTTCGTAGTCCAATTCGACCAATTTGGCCATCGCCGAGGTCATCGCCGCCACTGAGGTCTACTTTGCAGATTTCGAGAAAACGTATTTTTCAGATGGGTTAAAGAAATTGGAGCATCGCTGGGTCAAGTGTATCGAGCTAAAAAGAGACTATGTTGAGAAATATATCGCCACTTTTCCCAAATTTTCGTTTTTCTTTTGTAGGCTAAGTACTTATCGGACTGCCCTCGTACGAGGGTTGTTCGATAAGTATGGTTGAAAATTTAAAAAATCGACCCTTATTAAAATAATGATTTTTTTATTTTTCAACACAGTCTCCTCTGAGTTCTACACATTTGGTCCAGAGGTGTTTCATCTTATTGATCCCCTCGGAAAAGTAGGCAGTGTCAAAGTTTTCAAAATATTGGTTTACAGCGGCAATGACTTCCTCATTCGACGAGAATTTATTTCCCCCGAGCCAAGTTTTGAGATTGGAGAATAGAAAAAAGTTGCCAGGGACTAAATTTGGAGAATAGGGTGGGTGAGTCAACAATTCGTAATTCGTACAATTTGGCCATTGCAACAGTCGATGTATGAGCTGGTACGTTGCCTTGGTGAAAGATTATTTATTTTCGACAATTTTGAACGTTTCGTCCGCTTTCCGTCCATACAGTCTAGGAGAATTGCATAATATGCTCTTGTAACTGTTTGACCCTTTTCCCAGTATTTGATAAAGATGATGTCTTGAGAATTTTCAAAATACTGTAGCCATTACCTTCCTGGCCGATAAAATGGTCTTCGCCTTTTTCGGCACACTTTTGCCAGGTTCACTGCTTTGACTGTTGTTTTGATTCAAGAGTGTAATGGATCCGTGTCTAGTCTACGGTCAACCAATCGATGCCAAAAATGTGTTGGGTTGCGAACAAGCTTCGATAAACACTGCTGCGAAATGTCTGTTTGCATGTCGCTTGGTTGTCGATAGTCAGCGATCACGGCACCCATCGTGCACAGAGCTTCCTCATCTGCAATATTTCACGCAGGCAATGTTTGCCTTACATGATTTCAGATTCGTCTATTTAGATGAAGATGAGATGAAAAAAAATCACTTTAGATTATGTTACGACCTGGGCACCTTGGGAACTACGAATTCCTTTTTTTTATATGATTGGGAAGCAGACCGACTTCGGGCCAACGCTATTATAAAAAGGATAAGATTACTGTGGCTCGTCGTTAAACCATATGGAAGATTTTGGCGCCATGTATTTCCCAACGCGTCTATCATCTTTTTCGCCTTCACGTAAGGCACGTAGTTTTGTTACATCCTGAATACCCCGGGAACGGGAACAACGAAACCCTTTTTTTATGATAAGAAAACAGACAGATTTGGGCAAGCTATTGTAAAGCTATTGTAAAAAGGATAAGATTATACGCCGCCAAATGCGTCATGTGTTTCCCGATGCGTCAATCATCTTTTCTGCCTTCACACGTGATTGGCCGGACTCAGGCCCTCCGATGGGATTAGCATCTTGGGATCGTTTATGACATCCTGATAATGTTAAGAGTTTTCCAGGCTCTCCGTTTCCCAACCTTGCATATCCGTTTCTCACGAAAACTACTCTCATTGGCGATCATCATCTGCCACTCTCCAAAATCTTCCATATAAAAACGTTATTCTCTGGCCACTCCAGTCAGTCATTTTCACTTCGCCTTCTGCTGCTACACAACTCGCTGTCCAAATCGGAAACTTTTCAGAGTCAGTCAGTCAATCAGAGGCAGTCAATCAGTCAGTTAGAGTCAGTCAGTCAGTTAGTCACTTCTTCTTCTGCTGCTGAATAACGTGCTGTGCAAGTCGAGACCTCTTAAGTGAACTATTTCTCTTGGTATTTCGGGATTCCAGAAATCCAGTACACCACGATCAACGAACCCATGTTCTACGTACTTTTTCGTATTCACCACAGTCGATTTACTTAAATCGTAAGTCTCTATTTCATATTTAAACATGATTTTTAATCGTTTCAATCCAATCTCCAGTCTCACTTCACTCCTTAAAATACATACATACACTGCGTAATTATTATCTTCCTTGTATTATATAATAATAATTTCTTTCTCGCCATACCGATATGTTAAATATTCTTGTCACGTTAAATCCGATTGTATTATATTAAGTTACACGGATTACTTTTTCATTTACTTTAATCTTCATCTTTTATTTTCATTAATCCAATAATGCTGATTTATAAAAATTTGTTTAATGTTAACCAATATATCTTATTGTTTAACTTTAACTAAATGTTTCATCTTTTAAATATTGTATTTTTACAAAGACTTTCTCATCAATTTACCACTATTATTAATCCATGTGAGAACCAAATTATGTTATTAATATAATTAATAAACTGTTTTATTCAAAATGCCCTAAATTTAATAAAGTTGTTACATTTATTCATTCATTTTTTTTCAATGACTTAAATCTGAATTCCCCCTTCAATACTCTCATATGGTCCTAACCCAGGTAAAGAGATTAAATTCTTTAACCTAAATAAAGGACCGCCTAACGTACGTTTTGCGATCGGAGTAAATGGGCCTCTCCGGACCTTGACTTGATCTGCAGACTTGCCAGTACGTTTAGGCCTTGCGAGTGCGCGAATATGCGATGTTGTTGCGTACATCCTCTCCCAGGACGTAACAGTGAGATAAAGATGATTTCACTTTTGAATTTTCTAAATGAAAGATAAGTAGTTATTTATCTAAATAACTTTTTAGATGATATTGTTTTCATAAGAAACTTTATAGAAATTCCTAATAAAAATTTCGCAGATCATAAAATTGCACAATAGTTAAGTAACTCGTTAACATAATCGCTCTAAATTTAAGTCTATCAAAAAAGACCAATAATCATTGACTGCTCACTCATAGTCGA